CACTTATACATGCTTCTGATATTCTCTGCTTTCAGTTAAAATCCATCTAATATCAACAATTATATCCCCTGTTCCTTATCCTCATCTGAATCCCGCTTGAACCCTGTCAATGTATGGTTGCAGCTGCTTTTGAATTATCTTTAGCAAGTAGTCACTTGCATGCGATACTAATGATGTTGTTGTTAAGTGCCGTTGAGTTGGTTCCGACCCATAGAGACCCTCTAGAGGGTTTCCAAGGAGCGACTGGTGAGCTTGAACCACCAACCTTGTAGTTCAAACTGACTTTGCAGTCTAGCGTATTAACCCACAGCGTCACAAGAGGACTCATATTAATGATAGTGTCCAGTGATTTCCGCATTGGGTTGGGTCACCTTTCTTTGGAATGGGCACAAATATGGATCTCTTCCAATCAGTTGTCCAGGTAGCTGTTTTTAGAAATATCTTGGCACAGATAAGTGAGTGCCACCAGTGCCACATCACTCATCTATGCCAAGAAATTTGGAAGACAACTACCTGGCCAACTGACTGGAAGAGATCCATATTTATGCCCATTCCAAAAGCGGTGATCCTATCCAATGTGGAAATTGGACAGTCTCATTACTACACATGTAATTATAATTTTACTTTTAAGGACAATTCAAAAAGAGCACCACTATGGCTGCTGAATTTACTGTTAAAGTACTATAATTAAAGCCCTTATTACTTACAATATCTCTTAGATGATGTTTGGGATTGCTGTTAAGCACAATGGTAATCTGGTAGGTGCCCAAAGACCAAAACCACACTTTTTTTGGTAATTGGAATTATCTTTAAGGGAAAGGTGACATCTACTAGCAACCAGAATTGTGAGAATAGCCCTTTGGCTCTCAAACAGTAAAGGGGAGGAGGAGTACTTCACCCCATTTTTGATGGTCACAAATGGGAGTTGGGATGGGTGCTACTACTATTGGCATGTAGTGGGTAGAGGTCAGTGGTGCTGCTAAACATACAACAATGCACAAAAACATCCAGTCCCTACAAGAATGATCTGGTTCAAAATGTCATAGTCCAGAGATTGAAAACCCCTTTCAGAACCTACTCAACAGCACTTAACAACAAAAACAAGAAGTAATGAAGGGACTGCTCCTTTGTCTCTGTGCTCAGGCTTGACCTTTAACAAATCACCTGGGGGCTATTCCTTGGTGAGGCCAGCTAACAAACAGTCTTTACTACAGGGTATGTGTATGAATGCTACAATGGTGACATCTCTGTATTAAACAAAAGCAGAAAAAGTATTCATATTTTGTACATCAGGTTATCTTTATATTATACTATGTTTTTAATACCTTTTGTTTTTTTTCTCCTGTTAGAAAAGTAATTTTAAATATCTAATTTATCTTAATGGATTTATAATTTCCCAATTTAAGTTACACTGATAAAAGAGCCAAATTAACAGTCTTTTCTATTCTAAGCAAGCAAAGTATTAAGGAGAAGGCTTTATGTTCTTTGGAGACCAAATGGTCATGGTACCAGTTAGGTAGTGAAGGACTCCAAAGATCCCTCCTCCTCCCAAAAAAACAACAAACACTCAGAAAATAGGGCTACATAATCCAGCCATTCTTCCCTACAGTACAGCCTCCTTCAAGTATCACTGCTGGAGGTTCTTGGGTTATTCAATTAAGAAGAGTGGCACATACTTCAGTCACATGAAGAGTCTCTCAAAGGACAAACTAAAAATACAGAACTCCTCATAACAATGTCAAGTATCTACAATGATTTTTCAATTGAGTGGCACTGGACTGTGTATAATTGATAAAGAATTCAAATTGACAATCCTCACACAGAAATTCCTCACTTCACTCATTTGTTCATTTGCTGAGTAACAATGAACTTGCAGTCAGAAGTCAACAGGTGGCAATTTAGTAGGAAGGACACAAATAAACACAAAAACTTAATATAACAAAAGATAGTATTCAAAGACCAAGTGAGACATACCCCCCCAAAAACCTATTAGAGTTTAAATGCAGCAAAGCATACTCTGGGCTGAAGCAATCAGGAAAAGCTTCACAGAGATTGATCTTTTCACAGAGGAGCTGAGGAACAGATATGATTTGGATAAACAGGACAAATACTTTCTTAGATGGGAGAGTAGCAAGAGCTGTAGGATAAGCACTGGACTGATAACAGCAGGGTCAGCACATCAAACCTACCAGCTACTCCTTGGAATCCCTATACAGGCTTGGAACCCACTCAACGGCACTTAACAACAAAATGAAGAGACCAAAATACAAAAAAGAGCCGGGAAACTGGGGTGTGGTAATCTTTGTGCTTTTTCATCATCCTTTGAAATTACCTGACTTCCCAGTTTTGAATTCTTCAACTGCTCTTTGTTCTTAAATCTTCAGATTCTCTCCTTTGAATGGAATAGCTAGAGTAGATTACATAATTTCTGTGATGATACATCTTCAAGAGAATAATCTCATAAACAACAGGGATTTCCCAGCTCACATTCTAGTTTCTGTAACAGGAAACTGAATAAATATACTTGGCATATAGGAGCTCTGGTAGCGTAGTGGTTACGAATCGGGCTGCGAACCTTAAAGTCAGCTATTCGAAACTACCAGCCGCTCCGCGGGAGAAACATGAGGCTTTCTACTCCCGTAAAGATTTACACCCTCGGAAACCCTGTACAGGGTCACTATGGGTCGGACCCGACTCGATGGCACTTAACAACAACAACAACGTACATTAAATAAGGTTAGTAAACGTTTTCTTCCTCATCTATTTGTGTCTCCGTATACTACTGATAATGGAGTCCTGGTGTGGCGCTGTGGGTTAATGCGCTAGACTGCAAAACCGTTTGAACTGCAAGGTTGGCGGTTCAAGCTCACCAGCTGCTCTTCGAAAACCCTACACAGGGTCGCTATGGGTCAGGATCGACTCACTTAACAAATACTACTGACAATATAAAGCCTCTAGACCTAAGAAGAAATTAATTTATCTTAAGATGTTTGCAAATTCCTAGCAATTCTGGGCTACTAATGTGCTCTGACTACATTTTCATTTTATCTGATGATTATCTCCTTTCCTAGACATTTCTAGTGCTGTGCTGTTCCCCTCACTCTATTTATGGTCCACTATGTTGGCCTTTCTGGAGCCCTGGTGTGGTTCTGTAGGATAAGCGCTGGACTGCTAAATAAATGCAAGGTCAATGGTTCAAACCCACCAGTCCTTGGAATCCCTACACAGAGTTGCTATGAGTCCATAATGACTTGATAGTACTTAATAACTTATTTGCCTTTCTAGAGTCCTTCACCTTCTAAATAGCATAACCACCTAATCAAACAGAACAAAATGCAGGGTTTTATTGTAAAGCAAAAACTTTTAACAAAAAGCAGTAGTTGCACATTTTGGATCTTTTGTGTGACCTACTGTCTGGTAGCTTAGTGGTTAGGAGTCAGGCTGCTAACCTCAAGGTCAGCAGTTCAAAACTACCAGGCGCTCCGCGTGAGAAAGATGAGGCTTTCTGCTCCCGGGTAGATTTATAGCCTCGGGAACCCTATGCAGGCTCACTATGAGTACGGCACATAACCACCACCAATGTATGGTGAGCTTCCTCTAAGATATGATGATAATTCAGACAAGATTCTTAAAGGTGGCATTGTTGTTAAGTGCCGTCCAGTTGGTTCTGACCCATAGCGACCTGTGTATTGGGTTTCTGAGGTGCAGCTGGTGAGTTTGAACAGCCGACCTTCCGTGCTTATCCCACAGCGACACAGCAGGACTCCAAGCTTGGGTGGTGATTACGTGTTGTGGAGTGGAGTCGGTTCCTACTCATCAAGACTTGCATAGAGTTTCCAAGACTGTAAATCTTCACCGGAGCAGAAAGTCTAATCTTTCTCCCATGGAACTGCTGGTAGTTTCGAACTGCTGACCTTGAGGCTAGCAGCCCGGCTCATAACCATACACTACCAGAGCTGCTTAAGGTTGGGCAATATTTTCCTTGGGTACTTACCCTAACTAACGTTCAGTAACATTTAATCGTGTATCACCCTCACCCAGGCACTGAGTCATAACTAGGGCATAATGGGTTTTATCATCAGCAGAGAGACCATCTAGTAACAAGTCCTGGAGTCATTGCCTCCAAAAGGCCAGCATGCGACTGGCTCTGTTTGCTGGGGCGGGGCATTAGCAGAACTAGCCTTGGGTCTCAGGATGAGTTCCAGAACGCTTAGGGAAAATCTCTGTGAAGGTGAGGTGTGCGGCCCCGATCTCTCGCAGCTCACTGAGAACAAAACGTCTGTCAGAACTGAATGAAGGCTTCAAAGCTCAGCGCCGCCAGAGCCTACCGCCAAGTGCTTCCCCAGCAGGGAAGACTCCAAGCAGCGCCTTCGTGTCCATGCAGTTTGGCCGCTGCCTAACTCCCACGTTCCAGGGAGCTCAGAGGAGACAAGCGCTCGGCCAAACCCGCAGACCATCGCAGCAAGCCAACGGAACTCGCTTCCACCTCCTGGTCCGTGGCAGTCCCACCGACACACCCACCAGTGAGACGACAAGGCGTCCGTCCCTCCTCACGTCCCGTACTACCGGTTCCAGGCACACTCCCCCGAACGTGGAGGTTCCTTGACCCTCTCGCGAGAGAGTGTGTGGCCGTACCTTCTGCCTCTCAGATGCCTTTCTCTCTCCGCCCCTAAAGTGATTGCGCATCTTCCTCTGGGGGTTGGGCCAGTTGTGGGGCGGGACTGGGGGACTGCTCTTCTGCCCTTTGCCACTGTAAAGCTCTCGACCGGCCTCGCACCTCAGCAGGTACAGCGAGACATGCCCATGCGCCGCTAGAAGTAGAGCGGCGGGCAGGAGAAAACTGGTGTGGCTGGGCGGGTGGGAGCGCCACTTATGCGGGGGCGGGGCCTGGAACTTGCGCACGCGCCCAGCTGGAGGGCGGTGGCTACGGGGACGTTGCGCAGCCTAGTGGGCGGGTTGGGCGCGCTCATTCCAGGTGGCGAAACAGTCCAGCCTTTCGGTATCTCGTTTCTTCTGCTTCTGTTTGAGGCGCGTGGGAAGAATGGCTTCTGAGATGGAGTCATCGCTGGAGGCAAGCTTCTCATCTAGCAGTGCAGTGTCGAAGACAGCAGGGTTTCTGCCTCCGGCCCGCTCCCGCATCTTCAAGATCATCGTGATAGGCGACTCCAATGTAGGCAAGACATGCCTGACTTACCGCTTTTGCTCTAGCCGCTTCCCCGACCGCACCGAGGCCACTATCGGGGTGGATTTCCGAGAACGAGCGGTGGAAATTGATGGAGAGCGCATCAAGGTGAGTGGATGGAGGACTGTCTTGGAGGGAAGGAAGCCCCGGTATGACAAGCATACCAATCCCACTTTGGTTTAATAGTTTTTCTCATGCTGGTGTGGAGGTTGGAGTTGGGGATTGGAAAGATTTGCACATAACAAACTTCTAGGTAGTGCTTCTCAAACTTTAATGTGCGTGCGCCTCACCTAGGGACCTTGTTTAAAATGCATATTCTGATTATCCAGTTCCTGGGCAATTCATAAGCAGCTGGCCTCCTTGAATCACACCTTGAGTAGCAAGAGTGTAGGGGATATTTTCTGACTCATTAACTGTCCCATGTACTTGTGGTCAATGAAGTAATTTATTGGAAAATTCATCTAATAAAAGTACTATAAATAATTCATTTGATAAAGATCAGCCCTTAGTATTATGGAAGTAAAGCCCCTTACCTTTGAGGAAGTACTTAATTACTATTCCTCTGCGTACATTTAAAGAAAGTAGTCTCTGACCTTGATTTGTTTAGCAAAATCTGTTTCCCTGAGGAAACATTCTTTATGTTATAATTGTCAAGAGCATATCTCTTGGCTCCACCTACGAGTCCTCTCCCATTTCTTTCCTTTAAGACGCTATGGGTGGCTTCTGAGACTGAACCCCAAATAATAGTTGTTAAGTACCATCGAGTTGGTTCTGACTCACAGTGACCTTGTATAGGGTTTCCAAGAAGCAGCTAGTGAGTTTGAACTGCCAGCCTTGTAGTTCGCAGTCCAGTGCTTATCCTGCAGTACCACACCAGGAGTCCTGGTGTGGTGCTGTGGGCTAATGGGCCAAACTGCAAAGCTGTTTGAACTGCAAAGTCAGCAGTTGAAGCTCACCAGCCGCTCCTTGGAAACCCTATACAGGGTTGTTATGGGTCGGAATGGACTCGAAGGCACTTAACAACAATAAAAATAGTAGAAAGGGTAATAGGATTAGTAGCCAATGTGGAATTGTGAGTAGTGCAGTACAGAATGAGGATCAATGATAGGGCCATGACGATATAAACCAGGGGTGGAGAATGTCCAGTCCTCAGGCCATATGTTGCTGTTGTTCAGTGCGTTTGAGTCAGTTCTGACACAGAGTGAACTTGTATAGGGAGGGTTCTTAGGAGTGGCTGTTGAGCTTGAACCACTGACCTTGGAGTTCAAACTGATCTTGCAGTCCAGTGCGTTAACCCACAGTGCCACATCCAGGACTCCACATGCCATATAAGGCCCTCAAAATCATTTGGTGTGGCCCTACCAAGGCAATTACAGTACCAGCTGTCACATTGTTGTTGTTAAGTGCCTTCCAGTCGGTTCCGACTCATAGTGACCCTGTATAGGGTGTCCATGAAGCAGCTTGTGAATTTGAACTGCCGACCTTGTGGTTTGCAGTTCAGTGCTGATCCTTCAGCGCCACTCCAGAAGTCCAGCCATCACAGGCTAATTTTTAAGTTGATAATTTTGTGTGGCCTGCGAATGATCTTTAAAGATCAAAGTAGCCCCTAGCAGAAAAAAGATTCCTCACCACTGGTATAAACCCACACACTTAATGCTTCCAAGCTACCAGAAGTCCCTAAGTTACCTGCAAATATTAGTTTGTTGTTAGGTGCTGTTTAATCAGTTCCAACTCCTAACGACCCCATGCATAACAAAATGAAACACTTCCTGGTCCTGCATTATTCTGAAAATTGTTGTGTTTGAGACCATTGTTGCTGCCAGTGTGTTAATCTATCTTGTTGAGAGTCTTCCTTTTTTTTTTTTACAACTTTTTATTGTGAATTGAATGAAGATTTACAGAAAAGATCAACAGTTTTGGGTGTTTTTTTTTTTTTTTCTTCCATGCAGTTTGTTTTATTCATTAATAGGAAAGATAAAAGTTTGACATGATTTCAATGTACTGTTTTTATTACAATGATAGAAATGTCCCAATTTGTGTTTGCGAAAAAAATATATGCACAGTTTTTCCCAGCCATGAATAGGAATTTTACATATTTTCGAAGTATTCTTCATATTTCCAAGTTGAGAATATTCTTAAGGCTTTTTTTTTTTTTTTTTCATACAACTTTTATTGTGAATTGAGAGATTGTTTACATGGCAGAACATTGGTTTTGTCCTCAACCAATTGTATTTTGTTTCACTCTAATGATTACAATCCCCTCCATGCGCCATCAACTAACATAACAGTATTTGCCTCTATTCCTGCTTTGTTTGTTTGGTGTACACAAACATGCAGGAATATATAACCATTTAAACAGTAAAGGGGCACGTTTTCTAAGCCAGCTTCCTGCCTGACAGCACATAGCCTTTCTCTTTCCATGAGTCTAGAGTCCTCAGCTGCTCTGTCTCTCCATGTCATCATCTCTGCCTCTATCTCTACTGTCGCTGCTTCTCTGGATAGGGGCCCACATTCCACTCATGCGCTTCTCCCTTGATGGTCCTAGGGTCCTCTGTTCCTGAAATGTTGGCTTAACTACTCCCCCCTTTATGTTATACAACTTCTATGTTTACAGTTGTGACAATTGCAGTTAGTCATGATAACAGTTACTCACTGTTGATTCCAAAGAATCCTATCCCCATCTCCTTTGACCAGACCCATCTAGGTAAGATGAAAACAATTCAGTAGGGATTCTACCTCCCCTGCCTCTCTGAAACTAAACTCACTCTTGAAAACTTGTAAGCCAGTCGCTTTGTACTTTCATAGTCCCCCCATTTTAGGTAGTCAGTGTCTCAGATGCCCCTCCCTACCCAACCTGTGCACTGAGGGAATAGGCTTGATCTTTGATGTTAAGACTCCATCTCTCTTGGTTGGTATTTTGAGCTACTACATCCATAAACAGGAGTCCTGGTGTGGTGTTGTGCGTTAATGTGCCAGACAGCAATGCCATTTGAACTGCAAGGTCAGCGGTTCAAGCTCACCAGTTGCTCCTCGGAAACCCTATATCGGATCTATATGGATCAGAGACGACTTGACAGCACTGAATAACAACAACACATCCATAAACAAAGGTCAAGTTCATCAAATTGTAGCAATCTACACTTGCTTCCTGTATCATATTTCTTTATCTTCCTCTAGTGGAGTTCTGATCATCAAGCCATCCAAGCTCGGTCAAATGGGTACCATCAAGTTTGGGTGTTCTTGCACGACTCCCCACACTTCATATCAGCTGGACACTGCACTCTCTAGTCCCCAATGGATATGGTCAGTGTTCATGGACTCAGGAGTTCCCAGGTCTCCCCAGACTTTGGACTAACCAGCCCTTCCTCTTCTCTCTCTCATCTCAAGGTTAGCAGGACTTAAGGAACATGGTCAAACTCAGCCCATGTCTTCATTACTACCTTTCCCCCTAACTTCCACTCTCAAGTAGACCAGTATAATGGTCACCAGCAAGCTTATAAGCCTGCCCATGTGTTCCCTTTGAGTTTCAGTCTTGGAATGGGGTTTGTCCTGAAGGGACTTGATGGTTTGCCTTGATGGTTCCCAGGCAGATAGCTTGCTTGTTCTTGTAATACCCAAACAGTCTGCTGCTTTTTGTTTTTGTTTTTTTCTGCTGGTCTTTCAAGAAGTGTCTTCTGTTCCTCTTGCTGCTCTGGGTTGGTCTGCATGTCCTTTAAAGTGGAAATGTCCCACCTTAGAAAGCTCTGAATGGGGCTCAGGATTCCACCTAAGGCCCTATACTCTACCAATGCTCCACAAGAAACCTGTTTCACTAGGCAAGTTCTAAAACCCCTTTTAGATATTTCAGTCAGTTATAGGCTGAACATAGGTTTTTGGTAATCATATTTCCTGATACTCCTTTCTATCCCACTCAAGTGTCTAGTTTACAGTAGTAGGCAGGGGAAACCAATATCCACAATACAATCAGTCACCTTAACATTGTTTCCCCTCTTTTGCCCATTCAGATTATGCCTTGATCCCTGTATCACAGAGCCCTGTTGTCCCAGGGCTGAGTATGCATCACTGTTTACCTCTGTCCCA